GAGGTTCTACCCCCCCTTGGATTTACACAGGTAGCAGGCATGTGAATAAAGATGCTGAACTGTGAGATTTTTYTAAAATTTACATTTAATTGGGTTTTTGTTCAGCGGATAATTGCTTACCCTGCAAAGCCAGACATTTTTAATACRCTCATAGAAAATGCATGTTAAGTAATTAAGAACTTCCCTTTTAAAAGGAAAAATACCAAGGAACAAGAGGCAAAAGCTAAAGCACACAATGTAGAAATGCACTTGAATGTTTAGGTAGTTTTGCAAAAGCCTTTCTTTTCAGCTGTGAGAAGATTGTCAGCTCACAGATGTCCCCAGGGACTGTAACTGTTTAATTTTCTGCTGGAAGGATGAAAATCCAGCCACTGAAAAAGGCAGAGGAAGACAAGAGGTTGTTCTGACAATGATGAAGCCATAATGTTTTGGGTCTTCTGCTTAAAGCTTTTCTTAAACAATCACTGAAACCTCTCTGACCATGACAATAACATTTATTTGTGTTTATATGTTTAATGGCTTGACATMAAATCAGCCTCCTTTTTCCACTACCAGGTCTTTTCCCATTCTTGTTCTTGTGGAAGCACCCAACAAATTTACAATTCTGACAGCACTGAAGTATTTGAAGGCTGGTGCTTGTGCCTTGAGTCTACATTAGCAAGGAACAGGAGCAGTTCAGTGGCATTAAGCAGTTGGAATTAAGGACTCTGTGCCAATACCATGACAATTTCAGCAAGTTTTTATTTCAGAATAGTCCATCAGCTCCTATAGACTCCCAGTAGCAAGGAGWGCATCTTCCATGGAATGCATATATATTTGTGTGGTCTGGACACATTTTACATTGTGAATCAGATCATGGCAAGAGGGGGAGAAATGGGATTTTTGCTTTAAAAGTGTTTCTAAAATACTTATAGAGATGCACCCATTAAGTAGCATTAACAACATCCCTAGTGAAGCATGGCTGTTTCCTTACACTGCTGCAAATTACAGCCATTTTTGGATACACTAAATTATATCTCAGGCTTAATGACAGTGGCTTAAACCTTAGGGATTTTTTTCCTACAGGTTTAAGTGCCTGCCATTGCAGCAACATTTCTCTTCTTAAGAGCTTCCCTTTCCCAGCAGCAGCTCTCAGTGAATTCAAGAAGTAATATGTCAGTGGTTGGCAGTGAAAATAGCACTGAAAGGGGCATAGGCACACAATTTTAGCTTCAATTTTATCTTTTCAGGTCCTGTTCATATCAGTGATTAAAAATGTAAACTTTGGGTTTGGTTTGGGTTTTTTTTTTTTTTTTTTGGTTAATTGGATGTGTTTTGGAAGGGAGGAAAGTGTAGCATCTCCAGTGTTTGCTTCCTAAACTTTAGGGCTTATGTGCCTCTGGCCGTGTCTTTCATCCAATGGCTGAATTCAAAAATATGTTAAAACTGAGGAAAAAAACCTAACTTTGAGGTGTGAGCAAATGTAAGTTTGTGGAAAATTAATGTATGGATATTCTAGTCACTGGTCAATTAACTGAGCCTTTTTATTTTTATCTGRATCTGGTATATTTAGTGTTATAAAATTGTCATATTTAAGCTCAGCTGACAACGAAGCCACTTACTCCCTCTCCCCTGATGGGATGTGGGAGGGAATCAAAGGCACAAAGTGAGAAAACTTGTGAGTTGGGAGAAAGTTTAATAAGGACAAGAAAAGCCATGCACTAGGGAAACAAAACAAGGAACTGATTCCCCACTCCCTATCAGCAGGCAGGTGGTCAATGGGATATCCCTTTGGCCAAACTGGGTCAGCTGTCCCAGCTCTGTCCCCTCCTAACTCCTTGTGCCCCCGCTCTCACTGATGGGGTGAGAGGTAGAAAAGGTCTTGGCCCTTTGCAAGGGCTGCTCAGCCATAAAAAAATCCCCAAGCGTTGCTGAGTTATCAGCACTGTTTGCAGCACAAATCCAAACCAAGGCCCCACTGCAGCTACCTACCCCAGCCAAAACAGCATAAAAATAGATTGTCTTGTTTATGTCAGTGGGCTGCTTGTGACAGGTACCCAATTAACAACTCAAGAAACCAAAGTCGTCTCTTTTTATCAACAAAACGAGTTCAGAGAGGGCGTAAGGAACACAAGCTTCCCCCACACTGCTCCAGCAACATGCCCCAACCCCGACCCGAGAGCACATCTCTGAGGGAAAAGGCGTTTGTTGAATTTCCTTTCCAATTAATCTGACAGCTCTGCCGAGGCTCCTAACAAAASCACTAATTCATGCAAATTGCAGCAGTGGACCTGTGTCATGGGGGAGCCGGGCTGAGCTCTCTGTACCATCAACCCACTGGGCTGCATTCTGATCATGAGGAAGGAGGAACGCTGAATTTGGAGCCTGTTTTGCATTATTTTTTTTTTTTTCAAAGGGATGGCAACAGGCTCCTTTATCTGCCAACCGGGGTGGAAAGTTGCAAAAGAGCATTCGGCCTCAGTAAACGTATCTTCATCTTCCCTCCATCTCTGTGAGAAAAATTACACCTTTTACATGTCTGAATTAACTGTTCTGAGTTAGGATATGTGGCCCTCTCGGCCTGAATTAWTTTTTATTTAAAATTTACTGTTGGAAGCTCTCGGAATCCTGTGTCTAGTTTGCCTTTGAGGAGTTTACAGTGAAATTTCAGCTCTGGGAAAAAGTATTTCTTTGCCTTTTATCCTGGCCAACTGATTATTTAAAATTCTTCGTGTATTTATGTATTTGTACAACCTTTTCTTTTTCCTGTTCAGGTTGGTTCTGGTGGGCTTTTCTCTGGTGCTTTTTAAATTTAGACTTTACAATCTAAATTACAGTGCTTTTTGAATTAGAAAGTAATTTTTCCTCTCTCTGAGGATTAAATCAAGTGTTTGTTTTTTTGTTTTTTTTTTTAAATAACAAAGCATGAATTTACTTTGATAAAATGATGGCTTAATATATCTCAATGTGTCCAGGCTTTGAGTTAGGAAAGCCTCTTGTTTAAGGAAAGTGGAAGCTAGTGTTTGTGAACACAGGTTTATTGAATTCCTGATATTAAGTACCAGTTTAAATGACTCACTAGGATTTTTTTCCCCCAAAACTGACTGCAGAGAAGGTTCAATGCCTCACACATTTTGAAACCAGGGGCTCAGTGCCCACAAGCCAGAGCCCCTTTGCTCTAAAGCTGTTTTGGACCYGCTGTCTTTGACTTTGCACTTTACCAGCATTGCTGGCAGCAATCCTGGCTGTAATGCACGGCACAAAAAGAGATGCAGAAGCCCTGCAAGGCACAATGTGGAGCTGGAATAGAGTGTGGTTGAAAGGTGCAGTGTTATTCCCTCAGGACAGCGCTATCTCTTATGTACATATAATTAATATGTCTGCCAGAAACAGTTATTAAACAAAGAACAGGAATTGTTTCTGCTCAATGACTTGACCTGGGAGTAAAGCCAATTTAAAAAGCATCTGATTAAAATATGTTAAGGTCACAGATCACTGTAAAATATGAGGCGGGGAGGAAAAAAAAAGCAGGAATTTACTCATGAGTAAGATTAAATACTACTGATTTTTTTGTGCTAGCAGCAGCTTTCAGGTGTAAAAAATGAAAAGTTGTCATTGTGAAGAGTATTCTTCTAGAGACATTTCAGTGTCACATTGCACTCAATCCCTGCCCCATGTGTATCCCACAGATGATGTAAGAGTACAGAGAATTCTAAGAATAGTTGTACATTTTTATTTCTTSAACAGGCAGAATGGAATCCTGTGGGCAAGGAGAGCAAGTCAATATCCTCACCTCTTTCTGGGGATATTCTTACATTGGTGGTAATGAGGTCCACTCACAACAAGAGCTTTTAACCTTCCTTAGAGCCTTTCTCATCCTTGTTTCCCTCTTCTCTCAGCAGACAGTGCAGGTGCCAGCACCACAGCCCATCAAAGAAAAATCCTGCTCTGCTTCTGCAGCAGCAGCCTTCAGYTTAGTGAGCTGCTCACTTGAGTGGTGCCTAACTGTTTATTCAGAGCTGATGACAAAAGGTGTGCCTGAAGTTCAGTGGAAATATGAGTCACCAATACACTGTCATTTTTAGAAGCCTTTTTTGGGCTGAGTTGGTATTCAAGAAGTTACACAGAGGCCATGGGGAGAGAGAGGATGATACAGACCTATAAAATGCTGTAGATTGTGTGGCTTTTAATACTAATAAACAAAGAGAGCTGCYGAAGATGGTTTCATTGCTCTGAAGGTTTCTGAAGGAAACATGATGAAGTATTTGCTGGTGAATGAGAACAAGATGAGGCAAAAAAAGAGCTGTGTAAACACTTTTAAAGGAACTGGAGAGCAGTTCAAAGATGCCAGGCTGTTTGTGGGCACTGAGGTGAAACAGTCAGCAGCATTTTAAGGAAAGACTGGACATAGCACAGTGCCGTGATCTCACTGATATGGTGGTGTTAAATGGTACGTTGGACTTGATGGTCTCAGAGGTCTTTTCCAAACTAATTTGTTCTGTGATTCCCTTCCCAACACAACTGCCCAGCCAAAGATCACACTGTGGCCTCAGGTCCAGCTTAAAGACCTCTGCTGCAGCTCAGGTGACAGTGGGAGTAGTTTGAAAAGCCACTCCAAGAGTGGCCACTTGCATGGGGAATGCTCCCCTGTCCCCTCTGCAGGGCTGTCCCAGAGCTGCTCTCATCTGTCCCGTGAATGCACACTCTGTTATCTATAAGCTGTACAGGTTTGTGGCTGAATTCCCTTCTTTTCCAAATGCTGTGGCTCAGTGCCACGGTCACCTTTCAGCCCTAGAGCAGAGGAGCAAAGGGAGGAAACCATCAGCTGGTGGGTGCTGGACACTTGGTGCCATGGATGTGCATGTCCACCTCCAGCACATGGGATGCTCCAGCCTTGCCTCAAAGCAAGAAAAGCAGAGCTCTGGCAGGACTGGGCAGTGCCAGACAGTTTTTGGAAATGAATTTTCTCTGACCTTGTGCAGGGAGATGGGCCCTGTCAAGGCTGGAGTTATGGGGGTAAGATGCCACCAGTTCAGGCTGCAGCCCTTCCTCAGTGTTTGCAGCTGGGAATTGGTGAGATTGCTCTGCATGCAGGGGGCTGCAGGACCTGAATACTAAAATGCTCCTATTTACTAACAGATTTATATTTTAATTTGAAATTAATTCCAATTTAAATTAATAATTTAACCCTTAATGAGGAACCACATTTTCATCCCAAACAGATTAGTCAAGCTGCGGCGAAATTCACTTTGAAAAGACAGTCACATTTCTTCAATCAGTAGCTACCACAGATTGTTACAGGCATTTGCTTTTCTCTCACTGAATTAACTTTCCCTGCTGTCTGTCTCAGAGACAGACTCATCAGTTACAGCTTAAGGAAGTTCATTTTCATGCAGTGACAAGGACGACCAGAGTYCCGAAATTCTTACCAGTAGGTGACTCAGTGAAGTCATCCTGGCCTCACACTCAGATAAAAGAGACTGAAATCAGGCTCAGCACAGTTTTAAAATGCTGCAGTTGGGAGTTATCACAGGAATCACCTGTGCCATCACAACAGGCTTGAGGAGAGCTTYCTGAAAAAGCAAAACCAGACAGCCTTGCTGTACAGTTTATATCATCTATTTAGAAACTCCTAAAGTTTCCTTTACTCACTTTTAGTGKGCTAAGAGGTTTTTCTTCCTGGCTCTTTTCATCTACTTCATTTTGTATTGTTCCCCATTATGAGGAAAAGAAAAAATTCCTAGTTTTTGGAAGAAATTGTTGAGAAAAAGCAACTGCTGTTGACAGCTGGTTTGCATACCAAAATTAGAGATGTGATGACTTCCTACGCTAATTCCTCTGGTTTTTTTTTTTTCAATCTGACTGAAACCAAAGCCACAGTGCTTGTCTCAAAAACCCAGATTTTCTTCTATCAGTAAATGTAATCCAATTTGTCTGACAGAGAAATTAATGTATTTSGAAGTAAAACTTTATTTTTTCTCTCTTACATATCAGAATTTTWAAAAATGGCAAAGTCATAATTTTAGTAGGTACACTGACATTTTTYATTGGCACCTCCCTTTCTGAGCTTCAGTTTCATGTTTGATCACATTATTTATTTTTTTTCCTTGGGGTTGCAGTTGTGAATAATCTTAAATTGGTCTGACAGGCAAAGAAGGTGCAAGACAGCCTGAGGGRAAGGCACAAGATTGGGTTGCCCTTGCCAGGGCATATTGGGACAGCAGGAATCTGACTGGCTCAGCCCCTCACTCTGACCATCACCACCTTTTCTTAGATGACTTCTGTGAATTTTCACCTGAGGGATGAAAGAGATGAGGATTAATGGAGTTAATTTTTCTTCCTCACCCCTCTGAATCTTTCTRTTCCTAATGCAAGTTTGTTTACTTACGTTAAATTCATTCTTTTGTTAAAATACTGGTGATAGGGTCTTTTTTTTTGTTATTGCATTAAGTTAGCATATATATTTATTTAAAAAATTCTACTTTACAGAATCATAAATACATCTTTGCCTTGTATGTGACTGCCAATAAATGTGAARGTATCCCTTCAAGATGGTTAAGCAAAACCATTGGAGTTTAATATCTGGTAGTGATTTTCCATGGGAAGTTGTGATGGAAGTTCTCTGTATTGATTAGGCAGATGAAGTGTGATATTTATTCCTTATTCTGTTTGTTTAGTTCATAGTGCTGGTAAGAGAGGATTGGCATCCATCATTTTCTGCCTGGCTTGTCTTAGGGCTGGGAATAGAGTCAGTGAAATTACAGGAATTTCCTCTGTTAGCCAGAGGGCCACCAAAAGGCCCAAGGTACATCATAGGGCAGAACATGAGAGGGAGTGGGATTTCAATCATAAAATAACAGCTAAACCAAAAACTCCAGTTGTTTCTGCTACATTTCCTCCTAGTGGAGTGCTGTAAGAAGGACCTAGGTTTTCTTTATTTCCTCATGTGAAATGGAAATCCCCAAACATCCTCTCAGCCTTTGAGGAGAAGGGAAACCAGAAATGCCAGCTGAGGGTGGACAGTCTGTGCTGGGTCAGTGTCTGACTCTGGGAAYGTACCCACAAGGTCATTTTTAGTAATTCCGCTGTCCCAGATTGCCTGAGGCTCATGCCTCAGAGGCTCAGACCCAGGATTGTCTCCTCAGGGTCTGCAGCAGAGAACTTGGAGCAGGAGGTGTCTGTGCCAGCTGCTTTGCTGCAGCCTGGAAGTCGGAGGGAGCAGCTGCAGCCAAGCTCTTTCCCTTGCCAGGGCTGGGAAGTGCTGAAGGGTGGCTGGGATTGGCATTTGCCTGTGAAATGCCGCTTCTCCTGCTGTGTGCAGGGCAGGGGGAGAAGCTGTCCTCATTAAGATGTTACACAGTAGCAAAGAGTGGCTGTTCTCTCASTATTCGCCAGAGCATTTCACTCAGGTGTTTGGCTAACCATCCACCAGGAGCCAACCAACAAATCTGCCTTGCCCAGATGTTCATTTGGGTTTTGGTGGTGGGCAATAACAATCTCTCCCTCCTCCATCACTTACAAACATGATGGGATATTTATTCYGACTTTTTACCTACCTCAGGCTGTCCATCTAAAGACTTTGCTGTTTTGGCAGTGTACTAATGAACACAAAAAGATTACACAGTTTATTATCTCAGATTCTTGACTATGTTTATGAATCAATTCATCTCCATAAACAAAACTGCAAAGTGTGTCCATGGTTAGGCTTATCCCAAGACTGGTGAAGCCATTGCTTTTGCTTTAAACAAGGGTTTAATTCAGTGACAGGTCCCAGGTAATTTTATCTAAGCTTAACTGTCTGGGCTCCAGACACAAAAAGAAGTTTTGCTTTGTATTACTCTCCTTTCTAATRTTATATTTGTAATGAGAATATCCTGGTGTTTTTCTAATGTGCTGGTGTGTTGGGCAGTGTTTGCTGAGGAGCCAAACTGTAACAAAATGTGGATGTGTTTTGAGATGTGGTCCTTTTTTTTATGTTGTGTTAACACACAAAAAAATCCTTTTTAGGCAGACCATACAAGTTCCTGGTAGTATCAGAAGCAGCAAATTGAGTCTGATGCATGGTCCTTCAGAAATGGAACAGAGATCTTTCTCTGTTCAGGTTATTTTCTTGGGTTTGATTTRCTTAGTGCTGATCTGATGAACTGAAGGTACATAGTTTGAAATTAGTGTGCCCTTGTAAGCAAATGTTAGCAGAAGAGGGGGGATARAGTTAGTTTCCTATTCAGGATAGGGCCAATGTTTTGGTAAATTAAGCAGAAGAGAAGAAAAATAATTAAGTTTTTAAAATGGAACATAGGAAATGTTTCTTCTTAGAAGTGCAATAGACTGTTGTGTTTTCCAGGCAAAATTAAATGCAAGTCCAAGCTGATGTAAGAACTCCATTCTACCAAGAGGTTTTATTTATGTCAGCTCTGATTATGATAAAAATCTGTAATTTTAGACCATGAATGTCTGCAAACTGTGATCTACATATGGGTATGTTCCAGGGCAATAGTCACATGTTAAAATCCATGGAATTTAAAACTCTCTTCCTGTTCCTTTGCAGCCTGTCGAGCTGGGTTCTACAAAGCCTCTGCTGGCAACGTGAAGTGTGCCAAATGCCCTCCCCACAGCTCCACCTACGAAGATGCATCTCTGAACTGCAGGTGTGAAAAGAATTACTTTCGCTCTGAGAAAGACCCTCCATCCATGGCTTGCACCAGTGAGTAGCAGCATTCTGCTCGGGGCTGTCATCCTTGCTCCTCCATCTGGACCTCCACCACAGCTCGCTTGCTTGCTTCCTCTCATGTCCCACTGCAGTCACCCATCCACTTCCTCWCGTGTCTTCTTCGGACAGGCTCCTTAAAACTGGTGGGCTGGGTTTGGGTYTTTCTCTTTTCATTTTCTCCTTATTGTTCCCTGTCAGACTCGAGAAGGAGAACTACACTGAGCTGCGCCCTGAGGGTACTGTGTATTAATGAGAAAACACGGTCCTTGATAGTCTAGGTCTTGTAGTCTAGTGAAATATTTCAGGATTCTGCACAGCAAATAACAAGAAGAGTTTGGTTATTGATCTTTTTTGCTTTTATATTTTGGCGGCCTTGTTACTCCTGTTTTTGAGCATTCTTAGAGAGAAAATCTCATTCCCCTGATTYCCCACCTCCTTTCACAGGGCCACCGTCTGCCCCGAGAAACGTGATCTCAAACATCAATGAGACCTCTGTAATCCTGGACTGGAGCTGGCCTCTGGACACYGGGGGCAGGAAGGACGTCACCTTCAACATCATCTGCAAGAAATGCGGCGGCAGCTCCAAGCTGTGCGAGCCGTGCAGCGACAATGTGCGGTTCCTGCCGCGGCAGAGCGGGCTCACCAACACCACGGTGACCGTGGTGGACCTGCTGGCTCACACCAACTACACCTTCGAGATCGATGCGGTCAACGGCGTGTCTGACCTGAGCACCCTCTCCAGGCAGTTTGCAGCTGTCAGCATCACAACTAACCAGGCTGGTGAGTCCCTTTCTGCTCACCCTTCCTTTGCTCAGAGCTGCTGGGTTTTGGGCACCTTTTGTTTCCTCTCCCTGCTTTAYAGAATTCACTCTGTGCTAGGGTAACTCACTGACTTGAATATTGCTATAAAAGTAAAAGCAGAAACAAATTCAGTGTGTGTTTCTGWCAAAGAACCTGGCAGCATGACTGTTATGATTAACTCCAGCTCCCACTTAATAGTCTCTAATAGCAGGCTCACATGATTCCTCAGCCAGAATGTGTTTTATTAATAAAACCAGATTTTTAATAAAACACTCATTTCAATAATCTCCAACRTAAATTGCTGTAGTAATCTTAGTGATTAATTTTGATTAAATAGAAGTGAAAAAAGGCTTTGATGTTAGACACATAAAAAGCTAACATTAAATTAGAGAGGTTTAAAACACAGCTTTTTTTTTTTTTTCCCTCCTTTACAAGTTGTCTCACCAACTCTGAATTATTGCCAGCATGATGGGGGTGTGGAGCTGAATACTGAATCAGATGGTGGTGTCACAGTTGATGGGGTACAAAAGGATTGCTCTGCTTCTGTGGGGACTTATTAAAGCCTTTGAGGCCCTGTGTGAGCGGAGCAGTGTGCTCTGACTGTGGGATCTGAGCCTTTGTCACTCTTCTGCCATTTGCTTCTCTTTGACATGGCTCCACTTATCTGAAAGTTGTGAACAATCTAGACTCTTCCCTAGCATTTGGTTAGGTGCCATTTATTTTTTAGGAGCAATGTTTGCCAGTGAAGAGAGAGACTAGATGCTGAAATTTCTCTAGTTACGTTCACCATCAGGAAGCTCTGTACTGAAAACATGCATGTGTTCAGTCAGCCTTCTCCCACGTCCTTCCATCCCACCATGTCCCCAAAATGCTTCCTTTTCTGTCTTCCTTAAAGCACAAACAAGTTAACATTGTTCTAAGTAGGCATCCTTCTGGTGGGCTATATTATTGCAATGTTTTTCACTGCAGAGGATGTATGTTTTCTCCTCAAATCACAGATCAGCTCGAGTGGGAGGCATAAAAATGAGAGAACAGGCTGTGTCCTGACACCAGTCACTCCATTTCTCTGCTCTGGAGGGCTGTCTAACTATGCAGTGGGCAGGCAGAGGTGAATCTACCCAATTCAGCTCTGAAATATGCATTTTATGTCCATTCAATTTGTTACTGTTATAGYTGATTGTTTTGGATATTTGGGTCGGCGACTTGAGCATCCTTCTGGAGTTGCCCTCTTCTGTTTCTTCTCTCAGCGGTGCTGTCTTTCAGCCTGATCTTCACCACAGCAGTTAGAAATCACTGGGATGTGACAAAGTCAAAGAATTTCTGGCAACAGCAGAAATCTGTTTATTACAACACAGGCTGCTTCAGCRGTTTGTTTATTTTCTACTTTTATGCATAGCCCATTTTTTATGTAAGCACATTTAGGTGATGTGGGTTAGTACAGGATTAATTGTGCTTTATCTTGGTGTTCCAATTGGTTTACTSTATTACAGTGCCCTTAGAAACTCTGCAAGTTGCTAAAATTAGGCCTTGAGTAGGTATATGAGGCGTCTCTAGAAGTATAATTACAAAATGCAATTTGTCTTGCATTCCCTTACTGGTCAGATCACAAAAAGGATGTACCAGAAGCATATTTTTAGCTGATGTTCTACTTCAACACCTGAGCAGGGGGTGGGCAGAGCAAGTCTGAAGATCTTTAATCACATTATAGTTAAGGGTTTAACAAGGAGGTGTTTCAGAAAAGGATTAAAGCACCTTTGAGCTGGACCTCAAAGAGACCAAAAGGCTCTAAAATCCAGTCATGACTCTGGGACAATTATTTGCTCTGACTTTAGGTACATTCTTTGAAGGGTAGGGGTATCTATCAGACTAAGAGTCACCTTAAATGTTGCTGAAAAATTCCCAGTGACTCTGTGTTCCAGAGGCTGTAACTAAGAGTCTCAGGAGGGTTTTCAAACCTTGTCTAGAAGGTAAGGTGTGCTTTCTTGTAGCTTGTGAAGTTGGAAACATCCAGAATCTTGTTCTACTGGACTGTGAATGCAAAGAGGTTAATACATTTTACTGTTTGCAAYTCTTTTAAAGTCAAGATCTGGTTCCCTGAATTGAGAAAAATTCAGAATTGTTTCAGAAAATGGGTTGTTTTTTTTTTTAAATTCCACTCTGAGGCTTGCTGTGGTTTTATTGCACTTTACTCCCCTTCCAGCAAAGGTTAATGAGGAGACATCTCTGGAAAAAAAAAAAAAAGCCCAAAGCAAAACCAAAACACAGGTCTTTTGCAAAATAAGGCTAGACAGGTCTGACACTTCAATACTTCCAATTCCTGTAAGTCCTTCTATATTTTGGTGTGGATATAAAGAAGAAAGGCAAAATGTTTCTGTTTAATTTAGCTGTTCATCCTCTTAGATTGCACTGTAATACTSTTGCTATCTGATACAGCTTCCTCTGAGGTATGTTAAAGCAGAGGGAAAGCTCTCACCTCACATCAGCATGTTGAACTGTGCAGAKGTTGTCTCCTAATAACTCCAGTCAGCCCTTTTTAGGAAGGGTCACAGGCTGCTGCWGGAAAGAATATGGAATTTGGTGGTCTTGGGGGTGACGTGCTAACTGTGAGTGTGACAGAGGTGCCACCCTGCCTGCATTGTTGCTATCATGGATCAGGTCTGGGCACAGATATTGCGGGGTCACYGGGCTTTCTGAATACAGCTCATGGTCTTTTTTAAAAATGGATTTATCTGTAAAGACCAGAAAGCAGATGTTCCTTGGAGCATTATCAATTATCCAGAGGGAAAAGTCAGCCAGGCCAGGGCAGGGCAGTTCTGAAAACTCCCACTGGAGCTGAAGGGGCTTCTAAATGGAAATAGGGTGTGAAATTCACTGCAGAAAGACTAAGATTTGGTGGGGACAGTGCAGTCATGCTTCTGGCTATTCAGTTTACAGGAATGAAGGAGGAGGGTTTCCCATGTGAAACAAAGCCATGAAGTGTGGGAAATGAGTAAGTTTAATATGCTTTTTAGGTGCTGCCTGGGAAAGTAACAGCATTTCTACCCAATCAGTGCTTTTACGGTATCCCACACTGTCACACGTTAAAYGTATGACTCTGAAATGCTGAGCAAAAATATTAATATTTTAATCAAGGATCTAATTTACTTAACATTTGGAATAGACATCTCTGTAGTGTTCTTTTGCAGTCTAGAGGAGACGAGAAAAACTTTCAGTACTTGCAGGAATCTGTAGTGTTAGCAGATTCACATGTATCAGGTACGTTTTTGGAAGCATTGTCCGTCCCCCTGGTGTCCCATCCCCATCCTTTCCTCCCAGCAGACCTGGTGAGAGGAGTCCCCACACAAGAAATGGTTCTTGTTTGTTCTGAAGTCAGTTTACTTAGTTTTGTTTAGCTTTGCATTTGTAGGTTGCAGCAAYTCTAAACTCATGCATACATTCTGATAATGGCATGTCTAATAAATGATAAATACAGTTCKCACTGTATTTGTTGTRTAAAACAAAACAAATGCTGAAAGCATTCTCAGCTTGTTGAAACTTGAGACAGTAAACCTGTGGGTGCAGAAGAGCTGTAAGCCTCAATATCTCTGCTTCAGAAAAAATCCAGAATAGTGTTGTTGAGCCTTTTGTTGTTGTTGTTATTATTATTATTTGGCAATATTAACCTCCAAACTCTAACAGTTTTCAAAGCACATAAACTTTATGCATCCATGAATATGGAAAACTGCAGCAGGATTGGCTTTTATTTTATAGAATACTTTTGTAAGTCTAGATGGCTTTAAAGGGAGAGATTTGATTTACTTTAATTTCAGCTAAAACTACTGCAAACCTCAGCTTAGTCACACCTGTGATGCTCTAAGAATCATGTTTTTCCTACTTTTYCCTGTTAAATTAGTTGAAGCACTCTAAAGGAAGAGTGCCCATTTTGGGATTTGAGCTGGTCTGAACAAATTATTTTATAAATCAAAGAAGTCAAGTCTGTGACCCTCTTTTTGTGACAACATTTTCCTGGCAGYTGCTCCACATCAATCTGAATATTCTGTCTCAAAACCCCAACTTTACATGTGCATCTTCCTGAACTCTTTCATTATTTCTGATGATTCAGTGTTCATGGTTTCAGCAAAATTATTATTAGCATTAAAGTTCAGTGAAAATAATTAATTTCTCTGTGTTTTCCCAACATACTCTTACTGATACCTAAATATTTCCCTTTTTTTGTTCCTAATACCTTAGGTTTTTATTGCGTGGTAATAAAATATGTTGTTTTCTTTTCATCACTAAAAGCACATTGTAACAACTTTAAATGGAGCTTTATGTTAGATTAGTTCAAYTTAAAGACTTTTAAGCCAAGGTGTCCACAGTGCAGCTACAAAAGGTGGTAGCAACTAAATTCAGCTACAATAAGCCAATGTCAGCACTAAACCAACTCCAAAGAGTTTTGTGCTGTCACATAYCCTGGCATCAGCAGAGGAGCAAAGGGGATGTGTGGTGACAAGAGACTTCTTCAAATTCTGTCCCCAGTTCAGGATAGGTGGCAAAAATCAGTAAATTGGAGAACAAAGAGGAATCTCTTTCTTTAAAAGAAAAAGGCCTGTTATGGGACAAATTTTGACTAGAAATATCAGTGTTTTCTTATCAGTGAYTCCATTCTCTGTCAGGGACTTTTCATAGAGGAAGCTTAGAGTGTAACCACCCCTGGATCCAAACCAAGGCATCCTGTGCATAGCTTTATTATAAATAACAAGAAAACACCAGATCTACCTTATATCACCTCTTCCCTAGAAGAGCAGTAGTTTAATTATCAGTAGTCTCCTCCTTCTACCTTTTATGTTTCTAAAACCCATAAAGCAGAACAAGCCATGTAACTTGTTTAATTGTCTTGCTTAATCAAAGAATCCATGCATGGAAAGCCATAGGGTATCAGTTTGTTTAAGGAGAAGGTAACCAGTAAGGAACTATGGAATTTTTGCAAGAGGCCAAGA